AAAAATATATATATATATATATATATATATATATATATATAAAAAACAGTTTGGCCTTTGCCATACCATAGCATTAGACAATATAAGAAACTTTACTTTATGTAAAGCGTAAACTATGGACACAAAAGTGAACACTCGCTTCACGTTTAAAATGCATATCACAAAATATCAATATAAGCCCAACGTTTTTTTTTAATAGATAGTACATATATTTCATGTGACAAGTTGGTTAAAGACCAGTGGGTTAATAAAATCATATAGAAAAGCAGAGGTGGTTCTAATGAAAGATCTGGCAACATTTGTTTGCAGATACTGGTATTTGATGTTTTGCATTTATTCCTAGATACCTTTTGAGGCCACTTTATCAGAAAAACATGAAACTCATCAGAATTTTATCAAGCATTATTGAGTTACTGATAAAAAAAATTCATTTGAATTGAGAGCTGACATCTATTTAAAGTGTGCTAACAAATGATTTATAACATGTGAAAGCAAAACATCAAATCTACTCTCTCAATGAAGGAAACCTAAAAATACTCACTGCTGGTGTTACTTCCCGTCTCTGATGCACTGACACCAACACTTCAAGCTACAGGTATGCAAAATAAAAAAGACAAGAGTTGCGAAAGAAAAAAAGCTGCCTGTGCGTTGTCCTGAAAGGCTCATGGAAGCTTCTGACTGTGTGGGTTTTCCCTAAAAAATCTGGATAATTGAAGGACATTTCCCTCCCCTCTTGCTCCATCTCCTCCCTTTTCTGTCCTTCTCTTTCTTTCCTCTAGAAGAACACTGATGGAAGCATGGGACAAGGACAATCCAGCAACCCATTTCAAGTCATTTCAGCTAGTTTTTAAAAATCTTGTTTAGTTGAATCTCGTAGAATTTAAACATAAAAATGGGTTGCATACAGCAATTCACATTGACTTTAAAATGTAAGAGGTCCAAGTCACTTCAATTAAATGATTTATTTAACATTTATGGGTAACAATAACTAGGTTATCACTGCACAATGACTTTTTCCATGTCATTTTGCACAACATTCATCCACTTGAACACATTCATACTGAAGTTGCCAACACGTGTAGAATTTACATAGAAAATGGCCTATTATATAGCAAAAAATGAAAAAAAAAAACTAACTACAAAAATACTACAGTACAAATAAACAAACTAAATGTGAACTGAAAACAATATTTTGCTGACTATTGGTTTTCGCAGTGTTAATCTAGTTGGTTTTGGCCATTTTTTTTTTAATTCACACAAAGTGTGTCATTTCTGTGCAAAAGCTCAATTCTTTCTGGGTAAATGTCAAAGCATGTATTTTATGTACATTTGCAATGATAGCATGTTATATTCAGACTGTGATAATCACTCTGTTCGAGTAAATTATATAGCACTAGCTGAACCACAGACAGATATAGACTATATTCAGCAATACATTCTGCCAAGCCCTACTAACGCCTGAGCTTCTCAGAGAACATAGTAGTACAATATCTCAAAGAAATGATTAAATATAACATTCAAACCTCTTTACACTTACAAAAACAATGAAATGTCCCACGGATTAAATAAAAGATGTGGATTATTGTACAGCAAATCATAAAATGGTCGTTTTAAAAGCCAGGCATCAGATTATTGCTAGAACTTCATTGAGTGAGAAAACTGATAAACCTGTACCACAGACAAACTGAGGACAGCGCAAACCATTCTAGAGCTGGGTTTGGGTCAAACCTGAGCACAAAAAATCCCATGCTGCATCCTGTTTCTCAGTGCATACAGGTCTAAACTTCTAAAGAGGGCCCTCGGTATCGGGAAGAAAGCTGTTTAGAGTGAGATTATCTCCGTCAGGATCTTCATCCTCAGTATTGGGGATCAACGCTCCGTTACTTTTGGGATGTCTTCTTGGCTTTGGAACCGGGTGATCGGTATCGTTCATCATGGCAGAAATGCAGACCATCTCAGTTTCCTGGAGAAGATGTGCCTTATGCCTGTATCCCGAGAGTTTGGTAGCCAGGCAGATGGTGCTAATGATAAAGATGGTGGTCAACGCAGCCATCGAGGCAATGGCGATGAGGCAACGACTCACAAGTCCGTCCCTTTGAGAAGAGGCAGTGGAACATGAGTGGGTCGTTGTTGTGGTTGATTTCTTAGAGATGGTTGAAGTAACTTGAGCGGTAATTTTTTTTGCATCTGTGGATATTCTTGTCGTCATCGTTGCTGTCGTGTGCTTCTCTGTCACCTTATCGGGCTCCAGCGATGCAGGAAATGTGGGGGCAGAACTTCCTGCATGTGAAATGTGTCCAGTACTGTTATTTATTGTGGGAAGTTGGGTGTGAAAAGCACTCTCGTTATTTGTTGAGCGGTGGACTGTCAGGTTCTCGGTTCCTGCAGCATAGCTTTGTTGGGTGTGGTTCAAATCTGGAGCATGGTGGTAGTCTGTAGTTGCTGAGATATTGAAATCAGGTATTCCAGTTGCTGTCTGTAACGTACTCGAAGCCTTCAAAGTTTCCACAGTGGTGCTTGTTGCATTCTCGGCTTGAGCTACGGTTGCTGTACTGTGTGTGTCGTTGGTGTTTATCGATGTCTCGTTGTGACTAATTTGCCTTTTAGTCTGAAGAGATCTTGACGTGACCAAACTGCTCAAAGTCAGCAGCAAAACAAGAACTGGTAAACACCCAAGTCGGTTAGTCACCATCGCCATCTGCACAAAAATGAGAGAATGTGGCAATAGTGTTTTAGACGCACAAAACATCACCAAACTTTATTTTCACATTCATATGCTGTTATTCCTCCCTAGTATATTGAGCGGAGAGGAACTTTCAGACAGTGAGAACTGAGAGCAAACTGAGGTCTAGCAACAATGGAAGAACAAAAACACCTGATTGCTGCATACAAACGGTTTGCTCGTACTTTAACAAGGTTAAGTTTGTGACTATAGCATGTGGTTACACCAATACCTTCTTTCAGCTGACAGTGTCGTTGTTTTATAGTTATCCACACTCGATTTAAAATATATTACGATTATGATCGCACTTCATGAAACCTTTAAGTTTACTCGCAGATATTTAGTCACGTACACGCCACAGTTGATGGATTTCAAAAATCACCACGCCGTATTAACCTAACATCTGATTTTAGACTCAATTTGTTAAGGCAGAATTCAAATGGAAAATAAAAGTACGTACCATCCGTTTCTACCGTTGACTGGGTGTTGATCTGGAGTTCAATGGAACGTTAGGCCCTCTCACACACTCACAATGCAATGTCGCAAAACCTACAGGAAGTCAAACCTCATGAAGCATCAGGCTAAAGCTGAGGCTCTCAAAGTGTGACGCAAACACAAACGAGCAGGAGAGAGACTTAAATATCACATCTTAGTTCCCTAAAACACTAAGTTAGAACTTGTAACCAACAATGCTTCCACAAAAAGAGGTTTAATAATTAGAGAGGAAAAAGAGAGAGAGAGACAAAGGCCAATGATTCCGTTTATTTTTCTGGTAATCAGTAAGACTCTTTATACTTGAAGCAGATGAATGAACAAAAATGGAACAGTTATGCACAAAATGGAATTTCTAGATCTCCTTCCTTTCGATTCTTATTTCATTTTATCACTGGAAACATTAAAGGCTCACATTGTGCATGATGATGTGGGAAAATAGGGAATTCTTTAAAACCATCAAACTCCAAATGATGGACAAACACCTTCCTACAGCCAAAGAAAAAAAAATGTAAAGGAAAACTAAAAAAATATATATATTTACAAAGCATCCAAATAAATCACTTACATCCACTTCTTCCTGCATTCTCTTTTCAACCTACAAAAATCCTTTTTTAACTTCAATCATTCACTCCTTTGAAACCACACGCTCGAGGCTGCATCACAGATGCCTCCTGAGGCCACTTAAACACTCAAAATGGATCCATCGCACATCTGGGCACATCTGTACCCATTAACACGGCCCCTACATTTTCAAACCCTTCACTTTAAAACTTCACCAAGAAAAGAATGACATCAGAGGTACTGAGTTGTCGCTGTCAGACACAGATCTGAAGCCTCGTTGTAATGTTTCTGAGGTGAGAAGACGCTGGCTATTTTAGACGTAAAAGCTTGTGGAGGAGGGAAGATGCTTTTCAGAATCTATGAAAGAGGCGAACCGAAACGAGATATGTAGAAGCGTCAAAACGAAAACCACAAGAGAACGCTCTGACGAAGGATGTAGCCAAAGCAATCTGAACAACAGAATCAGTTTCCTCTCTTCCTGACATGGCCAATAGATAAGCAAACAAAAAAAGCCAGTTGTCATCAGCTCAAACTTGTGGCACACATAATACCTTCGTGAAATCATCATCTAGACCTGAGCCATCCCTGGAGAGAACTGGTTCTTGCTTGACTAGGAGAGCGTCGCAAAATAACTTTAGGAAAAGGAAGCCAATCATGACTCACTATTGTGCTGGTGGTCACGGTCTACAATGCACAGCTAAAGTATGTACATCAAACAAGCTCGTTTCTGAGATGGTGTGGCCGGCACAACTCAAGATGAGATTCGTAGGAATTAATGCGAAAGCAAATGCTTGAAAGCTGAACGATGTCTGAAAAAAAGTCAGAGTAAAAGCTATCGAGCTGGTAAAGCAACGAACGACGCAACAGAGTTTTGCTGCTGAAGCTAATGAAGGTCTATGGGTGTTATATTGTTCTGAGCTTATATCATCATGTTTTGGGATGTGAAACTAGAAGCTGAGACCTTCTAGAGTTTACAAAGTGAGAGCCGTACTGGTTCTGGCTTCATTCAGGAAACAGAACATGAATGAAGAAAAGTTCAGATATGTGGAAACTAGAAAAACGGACTCAATTTGCTTGTATTACCATAATGATGACGAGCAATGTTTGCCATCAAGAAAATGTTTGGAGTTGTGAATAGAGAACACATTGGTTGTATTCATGGCAACCATAAGAACCACAATTATTTTGATTATTTTGCTAATTAATATTTGAATACTTTTACATTGGTACCTGATTTAAAAAAAAAAAAAAGTGGAATATTTTCGTGCACCATATATTGTTTTCCAGTACTGGTTTGTAAATTTGTCAACTCTACATGTTTGATTAAAATTTTTATTTTTTTTTATTCTCTAGAGAAACACCTATAACATTGACGAATGGTTCCAATGATTTCCCCTCCTTGCATTACTAGCATATAGCTTTGTCCCTTATACAAAATTAAAAGCTAGTCAAACACTGTCAGGGAGGTGCATAATTCCTCATTAAATTTGGCAACTCAGAAGGGTGAGAGGGGAACTGCAGTACTGATGGCTACTTCAAACTTTGAGCTCATCAAGTTCATGTAACTGCTTCATGATGCAATCTGCTTGGTCACAATTTTAATAAGAAAAACAAAACAAAAAACTTAAGACCTTTCAAGAACACCAGATAAAACACAGCCGTTGCAGAAAGATTTGGAGTGAGACGGAGTAAAAAGCTAAACAGGTCAAATTTTGAGAGAAATTGAAGGCGTTTCTAGTTTTCCAAATGGCTATGAGGTATAAACAGGTTTTGGGGATTGCAAAAAAAGAAAAAAAAAAAGATCATCTTGGAATGTTGGTTGGAGTCTTTTCAAGGCAGGCTTCAGACGGAACGCTGTCATGGTGATTGGCAGTGACGGGTCCCGCCCACCTGGCCAATGGGATATCCTGAATAGAAGAAGGGGAAGGGATCAGGGTCCATTAGATGTCCATTTTAGACAGCTGCTCCTCAAGTTTGGCAATTCTTTTTTCCTGACTGCTGACCAGCTCTCTGAGAGATTTTATTTCTTTCAAAACCTCTTCCAGCTTAGCTTCACTTTTCTGTTGAGAAAAAAAAGTAAAAGAGAAAAATTAAGGACATTTCTTTTAAATTATATATATATATATCTGCGGCAGATTTGAACTCCTGCAGCTGCTTCTGGCAAGATGAAACCTCCTCTTTTCTGCAATACATAGGATACATATGCATATAGAGTTTTATTAAATAGTTTGACATCTGGCAAAAGCGTAACTAATATTTCTTGTAATACTATTCCATTCCAGCACATGGTTTTAATTCCATAACAGTTCTAGCATCACTTTATCCAATTAAATAACAGAGACATATGTCAGAGCCAAGAGAAGTATATAAAAAATAATGGGACACACTGGAATGAGACAATATGTGACCCTGGACCACAAAAACCAGTCATAAGGGTCAATTTCTCGAAATTGAGATTTATACATCAGCTGAAAGCTGAATAAATACGCTTTCCATTACTTACTACAAAATAGTCAGAAGAACACGGACTGCAGGAAAGCAGGTTTGACGAATCAGTGG